GAGAGTGTGCTCGTCTCTTCTGACTCTGCCAGGTCCTGGCTGACATGATCACTCACACTCACCCAGGCCCTCCCTCATCCTGCCTCTATACAGAGTCTACTTCGCTGTGACCCAGGGACATGGGACTTGAGAAGAGGCTCCAGTTGAGGACGTCCTGGGAAGGGCTTCACACCAGGCCTGGGTGGGAGACAGGAGCGGGCCCTTTGGGAGCAGGGAGGGTTTAGGGGCTGCATCTGGGTGCCCTGTTATCTGTGGACCAGCATTCATGAAACATCCCATTGGTGTGCTGCATTGATGTGCGTGAGCCGCTGATAAATATTAATATCTTCACTGGTGTGGGAAATTCAGCAACTCACATATGCGACGAGGGTGTTTTAGTTCCTCTTTTCCCATAGGGTCATTTACTGCTGATCATGTGTTGGCTGAAATTTTCTTGCTAACAGCTCTTTTCATTTGGCCAGGTTTTTAGTTATCTGATATTGAAGAGTCTATGGCTAGGACAACTCTTTTTTTTTTTTCTATTTTAATCTGTTAAATTAATGTATAAGAGCAACATGTTGTCTAATTTTGACTCATTGTCTTGTTAGAGGAGTAAAGTCCATCTGGCTTATGTTAAAAGGTTAACCTATCTAAATTTCATTTGATACAGTACTATTAGGTTACAACTATACAGCTTATACATACGTTGTCAATGGACATTAAAGGTAAAGCTTTTCATACTTTTTTCATTTTTAATATAGTTTTACTTACTATGCTCCTAGAATGTTGAGAACCTAATGTAAATGAAATGCAATTTATGATACCAAAAATGTTGACGTTGATGTAGGAATGAAAAATGATAATGAATTGTCTTCCCTAAAAAGTCTTAATTCAGAGACAACTACCTTTATTACAATTAAGTGAATATCCGTGAACGTGTGTGTGCATGTACAAAAGATGTAGCATTCCATAAATAAGCTTTTATCCTAATTTTTTTTTATTTTGTTGTTGAGAATATACAGCAAAACATACACCATACTGGACATTTCCGTGTGTACAGTTCAGTGACGTTGATGACATTTTTGGAGTTGGACAACCATTCTCACCCTTTTCCAAGTTGTTCCTCCCCCATTGACAGGAACTCACTGCCCCTAAGGTTCCTGACTAATATAAATAAGTATTATCTTTGTTATAACCTTTGAGAATATGTCTTACATGTGTTCCAGGGCCTTAAACTTTTCTACACTATCATATTAATAAGTTAATGGTACAATAAATAATAATTCATTGCGTGTGTACCTGTCTGTGCACCTATATGATCACCTTTTATTCAGTTTTGGTTTGTTGGCCTTGACCTCATTTCATGTTTTCTCAGTTGGGAAAACCTTTGTCAGTGCACTTTTTTTCCTTTAAATTTTTATTGTGATTTGGGTGAAACTTTACAGAGCAAAGTCATTTTCCACACAGCAGTTCATACACATTTTGTTTAATGACATTGACTGCAGTTCCCCACAATGTAACAGCTCTCTTCCCACTTCCTCCCTGTAGTTACCTCTTCCCTGTGTCCTTCTTTCCTATGCGTTCTGCCCCCTTAGCT